GGGGTTTGGAGCGGGACTGCGGCCGCGGGAGGCGGGCCGCGAGCCGAGGCACCTGAGCGAGGTGGGAACTTGCGACCTGTGCGTCCCTCGCCTCGTCTGCAACTAGTCTTGGAGTTCCGTGGCCTCTGGGGTGTGTGGTCAGTTCTGGGCCTACCTGGAGGCTGTGACCCCCAGTCTCACCAGAATTCTCCAAGTGGAGAGAAAGAACTCAAAATCCTAAGAGAGACCTGGACCACACGGTGTCTTTCATACCCCCAAGTAGGGTCACCTGGAGCCACTGTGGGGCCCCAGGACAGATGCAGCGGTGGGGAGGAGGGCACGGCTGGAGTCCGCCTCGGTTCGGGACCAACCTGATGCCAAAGGCAGAGACCTACAGTGGCCGGAACCCCAAGCAGAAGACTGCTTAACAGGCAAATTCAGCCCAAGTCCATCTCCAGGCGTCCGGGCCGAGGCAGCGCACAGCCAGGGCTCCAGCTGCGGGAGGCCCAGCACAGCCTCGGTTCCAGGCACCCCCACCGCCACCACCCCCACATTCTTTCTTTGTTGTGAAAGCAGCAAGGGGTGTAGGAGGCCGGTCAGGAGGAGTCAAGCCTTGAAGATGGGCCCCAGCTGCTGCTCAGGCCTCGCGGACGAACACGGACACACACACACACACACACACACACACACTGGGTAGGCCTTGTCTCCCTCCCCCCTCGCCCTCTCGGGAGGGGCCCCCAGGCCTGGTAGACCTCCCTCCCCGAGCAGCTGGGGGAGGAGGGGCAGCTGCAGAGGGCCTCACAGGCAAAAGCAGCGCCAGGACTCCAGGGTCCTGCCACATGGCCACCACATGTCCCTGACAACTCAGCCCGCAGCACCTTCTCTCTGGGTTGTGGGCCTCCTTCCCCATCCCCCAGACGCCTCCTCCAGGCCCCCCTGGGGAGGAAAAAGGGAGGAATGAGGAGCGAGCCAGGAACCACAGAGGCTCCTGTTACCCTGTCCATCACAGCCCCTCATCTTTTTTTTTTTTTCACCTTTTGCCTCTTGTTTTTGAGGCAGTGTCTCACAGTGTAGCCCAGGCTGGTCTTGAACTCACAATGATCCTCTTGCCTCAGCCTCCCGAGTGCTGAGATTACAGGCGTGCGCCACCATGCCCAGCACCCCTCACCTATGTCAGAGAAGGGCTCTGACATAACCCTTCCTGGCAACCCCTCAAATTAGGGCTCCCCAGCATAAAGGTTACCTGATTCTTTTATTTAAGAAATGTGAAATATGTGGACCTGAAGTGAGACAGCCAAGGGGCGGGGGAAAGGCGGGGTGGGGTGGGGGACAGGGAAGCCAAGAGGAGGTGCCATGGCTGGCCACAAACCCTCCTGCAGCAAGGCCAGCAGCAGGCTGCATCTTGCCCACCGTGGAAGCCTCTGAGTGAGCTACTACAGGACCCAGGGTGGGGTGTCCTGAGGGTCCTTCCTAATGGGGTTCCTGAGGAGGGGCCGAGACCCTGCAGGCAGCAGCAGGCTTCTGGTCACTGTCCCACCCTGGGGTGGGGAGTCCGAGCAAGGGGAATGCTGTGGGGCTGTGAGGGACCAGCAGCCCTGGGCACTAGGTAGATGTCAGCTTCTTGAAGAGAGGTCCATAGTGCTGGCACTGAGGCCCCTCGATACCTGAAAGAGATGCCACCATCTCGTCACACAGCGCCCTCAGCCTCCTGAAGTCCACCTACCCCAGGCCACCACCTGTCTCCGGAGCTAGGATTGCACCTACAGCCTCAAGCCCAAGACTGGGGCCCTGGCCAGCCCCTCCTAGGCCTCCCAGAAGACCAGGACTTGGTGGAGGAGAAAGTACCAGGAAGAGGCACACAAATACTGACGTGTACCCTCAATGACAAGTGGTCACTTGCCACGAAAGTGTCCTCACTGTCTTTTCCAGTGAGGACTATTTAATACTTTTTCTTTTTTTCCCTTCTCATTGACTACTAAGTTCCCAAGGAGAGGAGTATAGTGGCTGCAGAGGAAAGAACAATTAGTATCTCCAAATCATTCTTGAATTCTTTTTTTGGTTTTTTGAGACAGAGTCTCACTATGTAGTCCAGCCTGGCCTTGAATTCATGGCGACCTTCTTGCCTCAGCCTCTCACATGCTGGGATTGCAAGCATGTGCCACCACACCTGGCCATTCTTGAATTATTCATACTTCCAAAGTACCAGTTTAGAGAATATCTACTCCTATTTTTCTCCTGATTTAACTTCCTTGCTACTGTGTCCATCCTGAAGCTGTCCCTTGGCCGTTATCCCACCACCACCCAGCGGTCTGCCTGGTCCCTCCTCACTGCCAGGCCCCTTCTCACCCCCAGGCCCTTCTGTCTTCCCTGACTCCCATGGGCTGGGCTCAGGCTCTCACCTGGAGGGGCGCAGCGCTGGGTTGGTTCAGGTAGTTCAAGGAAGCTGCCCGTTTCATGTTGCTGCTACAATGAAAAAGGAAGAACTGAGCCCCCCTCTTTGTCCCAAGTGGTCCTAGCGCCATTGGCCCTCGGGTGCTGCTACACAGGATCATATCACTGCCTCCCCCTTCCCCTGGCACCCATGAACTCTTATCTGCGTCAGGCACCAGCATTTCCCACTGGGATGGGCCCTTTAACCCCACCAAAGCTGTCATTCTGCCCAGGCTTTCTCTCTATAACCAGCCCACTGGCCCCTCCCATGCATCTCTCCAGAGTTTGGGGCCAGGTGGAGCCCTATCTCAACCCACTGTGTACCTGGAGGGCCGAGGCTCAGTCCCCTGGAGCTTCCGCACCAGGAGCTCGCTGCTTCTGCGGAGCACATCTCTGATCTTGCCCAGAGAGCCACTCCTCTGCAGGGTTCCACTGCCATCCTGGCAGACAGAGATGGGCAACAGAAGCCAAAGGGATCCCACACAGATTGGCTTCTGAGCCTACTACAGCCATTTATTCTGCAGAGGTCCCGTATCCCCAGTGATTGAAAACAAGAGCCTTTCTATGATGTACACCTGGAATCCTAGCTACTCAGGAAGCTGAGGCAGGAGAATCTCAAGTCTGAGGCCCTCTCTCAAAATTTAAAAAAGGAGGAGAGGGCTGGGGATTTAGCTCAGCGGCACAGCGCCTGCCTGGCAAGTGCAAGGTCATGAGTTCGATTCCCAGTACCGGAAAAAAAGCCAAATAAATAAATAAAAAATAAAAAAAAGAGGAGGCCTTGGGATGTATGTAGCTCAGTGTAAGGCCCTGGGTTCAAATGTTAATACAGGGGAAAAACAAAACAAAACACAAAGATTCCCATGTGGTGGTGCATACCTGTAATCCTAACACTCAGAAACCTGAGGCAAGAGGATCACCATGAAATCAGCAATCTGGGCTACATAGTGAGTTCAAAGCCAGCCTGGACTATATAGCAAGATCCTATCTCAAAACAACAACCTCCCACACATAGAAGAGAAGGAAAAGAAAAGAAGAATCGCCCTAGCAAAAGCTGGCTCCTAGAAACAGACCAGAAGGGACAAGCTAACTGGATGGGGACATGGGCCCGTGAGCCCCACATGTCTAAGAGCAAGCTCCACATGTCCGCCACCAGCAGGAATGATAGGAGAGTCCAGGATGCAGGCCACACTTACCCCTGACCACTCCACAGCCACGGAAGCCTCTTCACCTCCCTCAAATTTCACGCTGTCCCCAGGGCCCTCCTGGGAAGTCCTTTTGCCATCACCCTCCCCAAGCAACTCTGCCACCTTGGTCTGGCTGATTGGATCAGTACCCTGGAAGGAAGACAAAGAAGCTAGGAATTCTACTCCCTAAATCCTCAGGATGGGGCTTCTACTCTTTCTCCTTTGGCAGCTACAAGGAAAATATCTTCCCTCGTGTGATGTCCAGCCCCCAGGACAGGATGGGAACGGGCGTCACTTGTTGTTTGCAGCACATTCCCTAGAGATGCATGTGTATCTCTAGCCATGGCCCACACAGAACGGACTTCATGACTGGCTTCATGGTAGAGATCCAGGATTTTCGAACCTGGCTTAGGGCTCCCCTCAGCCTCACCCCTTGCCCCTATACCGCCCATGTCCTTCCATGGAAAGGGAAGGCTCCCCTCCAGACTCCCGTTTATGAAAGGGATCTTGAACCTGATGTCCTAACCCCAAAGGATAGGCTGGGAGTAGGAACGCACTTAGAGCAACCAGACACAAGGCTGCCTCGCCTTCCCTTCCCTCCTCCTCAGCCTCTCCTCCAACCTTAGGACACTCACAAGGAGCCTTGGCGGTCCTGTCCCCAGGGCCCTTCCTGCACCTCTTTACCCTAAAGCCTCTGACCTGCTTCCGGGAACGCAGGGCGCACTCCTCCAGGGTCTCAGCTGCCTCCAGCTTTCCTTGACGCCTATACAGAGCTCCAAGGTTTCTCAGAGTGGTGTTCACTGTGGGGCTGCCGGGGTGAGATCAGGGAAGGGAGAATGCGATCAGAGAAGGAACCAGGAGAGAAGGGGAGGTAGGGTGTGATGGTGCACACCTCTAATCCCAGCACTTGGGAGGTTGAGGCAGAAGGATCGCAACAAATTGGAGGTCAGCCTGGACTACATAGTGAATTCAAGACTAGCCTGAACTACACAGGAGACTGTGTCTCAAAAAACAAACAAAAAAGAAAGCAAACAGGAGAGAGGGCACAGGCTGAGGCCAAGGTAAGGTCAAGGGGAGGCTGGATCAAGGAAGGCCCGGATGAGTGCTTTCTGGGCAGGGAGCTCACCTGCTCACTTTGCAGGCCTTGTACCAGCCTCCGTATTCAGTATAGGGTGCGGGGCCCTCACGGTGCCGGCTCTGTGTGGAGGGGGAGCCCAGGGTGAATGAACAGAGGTTTTGGAGGTCCCCTGCATCAGGACTGCGTGGGGAGGTGAGGGCTGGGCTACCTCAGGGAGCATAACAAAGGCTGTGCTCCCCTGGGGGCCCCCACTCACCTTGCTCATTTCCTCCCGCTCCTCCGCGTGCATCCAGATGGGCTTGTGGTCATCTGGAGGCGAGATGTGGGGTGGGGAGCTGCTCCCTATGGGGGAGCCAGGACCCAGAGTCCCCTGGGGACAGCTCCTCTGGAAATGCTCCCACACTTACCATCCACAGACCCGAACTCCTGCACGTGTGCGCGGGTCAGGATGTCCTTGTACAGGGTCTCTGCCTCGGCATACTTGCCCTGCTTCAGGTAACAGGAAGCCTGCAGACAGAGCACGCACGGGATGGAGGGGACAGGTCTTAGCCTGACGCAGGGTGCTCTGCTTCCCTGAAGGCTGCACACAGATCCCTTTTCAGCTTCAGGGTTAACTCCCTTCCCACCCCACTCCCAAGATGCTACACAACTTCTCCTGCTGGAGGGGATCCTTCTTCCCAAAGCAGCCCAGAGACAGGCACCAAAGTAAAGAGAGGAGTGGACTAAATTCAGTCCATCCAGCTCCCCACCCCAAGACCAGGTGGCCTTTCCCATCTCTTTTTTCTACCCCTCACCCCTTCTTAATGCTTACCAGATTGTTCTTGGTCCGAGCTACATTCGGATTGTCTGGCCCTAGCTGCCCCTCATAGATGGCCAGTGCCCGCTGGTAATAGCGTTCCACCGCCTCATACTTGCCCTGGTTTTGGCACAACAGGGCCAGGTTGTTTAGCTGCTTTGCCACATCTGGGTGATCAGTGCCCAGGACCTGAGAAGGAGCAAAGAAACAGGTAAGTGGATGTGACCGTGCCGCAGACACGTGCACACGTGGGGAGCCGAAGTCCCAGAACCAGGCAGGGATGCGGGGTCCGAGAGAAAGCAGCGAGGGGCATGTGCAGGACAGGGGTGAGGCAGGGAGGAGGATCTCAGGGACAGGGAAGACCTGAGAGGTCACAGCTACCTTCTCTCGAATCTCCAGTGCTCGCTGGCACAGCGGCTCTGCCTCCTTGTATTTGCCCCTTTTGCCATACAGCACAGCCAGATTGTTGAGTGTGGCCGCCACCTGCAGAGGGAGGGAAGCCTGTCCCCATCAGATGCTGGAGCTGTGAGAGACCTCGGAGAATCCTGAGGTTTCCCACCCTGGACATCCTGGGCCTGGCATCTTGACCAGAGGTAGAGGTAGGGAGGCCTAAGAGAGTGGTGTCGCCCTCTGGGGGATTTTTACAGATTCCCAAAGGTTTGTTTTTTGGTTGCCATAAATGTTGGGGGTATAGTTGCTGCCAGGGAGGTGAGAACAGTACAGATGTTCTGCATGTGTAGAACAGTTCAGCTCTGCCTACTTCGGGACAACCTACCAGAAGTTCAGATACCTGGTAGCAGATCAAGGTAGGAGCTATGTTTCCAGAGATACAGCTTTGCTCCCAGCACATCCTGTCCCAGGGAATAATGTTCATACAAGAAGCTCATTTGTTTTTTTTGTTTTGTTTTGTTTTGTTTTCTTGAGACAGGGTCTCAATACGTAGTCGAGGCCGGCCTTGAGCTTACTCTGTAGCCCAGGATGGTCTCAAACTTGCAGTGATCCTTCTGCTTCAACCTCTTGAGTGCTGGGATTGCAGGCATGTCCAAAGGTCACTTTCTTTTTCTTTTTTTTGGGTGGGGGGAGTTCATTTTCAAAAGATCTTATTTATCTTTTTTGTCCTGTTTTGTTTTGTTTCTCCTGGTACCGGGAATTAAACTCACAAACTTGTGCTTGCCAAGCAGGTGCTGTGCCTCTAAGCTAAATCCCCAGCCCCAAGATCTTATTTATCTTGACATGGCATTCCTACTTAATGTTATTTCTCTCTCTTTTTTTTTATCTTTTTCAGACAGGGTTTCACTATGCAGTTCAGGCTGGCCTTGAACTCACTTTGTAGTCTAGGATATTCTCAAATACACAGCAATCCTCTTGCCTGAGCCTCCCAAGTACTGCAATTACAGGCACGGGTCACCACACCCAGCCCTCTTTTTCTCTTATATACAAATGAACCTAAGGGGCTGGGGATTTAGCTCAGCAGCACAGCACCTGCCTGGCAAGTGCAAGGTCATGAGTTCAATTCCTGATACCAGAAAAAAACCAACAACAACAAAAAAAACCCAAATGAACCTAGTCTGTGACTACTTACTGTAACTCTGAAGTTTAATTGGGTAAGCACCCAAATTCCTCCTTCTTGATCTAGACTTCTTATGTGGATGGCTTGTTGGGTTTACTTCTAAATTCAGAGTAATTTGTGGTAATCAGACTACTTTGTTATGTCTTCTAAGACAGCTGTACTCAATACAGCTACTACTGTATCTTTATACTATTATGATATATTTGATCTCACGTATTATGTTATAAATTACTTTCATGTTTTTCCTTTATATTAGTAAGCGCATGATACTAACATTTTTGGAATCAGATACATTGATAGACTACACTGCCTATGAATTAAATTTCAGGAAAATATTGATTTGAAAAAGAATCACTGAGTCTCAGAGAATTGAGACCCATTAGGCTCACTGGACAGCAACCCCCAGCGAGTTCTAAACTGAGCACAGTGGTGCATACCCCTATCCTGGGCTACAGAGTGAGGCTGAGGCAGGAGGATCACCACAAGTTCAAGGCCACCCTAGCCTACATAGTAAGACCCTACCTCAAAAAAAAAAAAAAAGATATTCTCATGCCTCCTTCCTAAGTACCCCTAGTGAGGGGACCGAAAGCTGTAGACTGAGTTGCTAAGAGAAGCCAAAAGAGCTATGTGGGGATGGGGACAGGCCAGAAATACTGACAGCAGGGTGATCCCGGCCCAGCGTGCTCTCCCGGATGCTGAGGGCATCATTCAGCAGGTGGGCAGCTTCCTTGTACTTATTTTGGTCCCTGGAAAAGAACACAAGTGACAGGAGTTACCCTGAACTCTGTGCCCACCTTGTTTCCTTTCCTCACTCCCACTGGGAGGACTGAGGTCCGCTTTAGGATTGGACACCCGCTGGAGACTGGACACCCGTGTGGGCAGCAAGAGGGCGCTGTGGACACTCAGCCAGCAGGCTGTGGAGCAATGCGCTCCCAAGAGGAAGCCGCAAGTAAGTCGAGGGGAGCAGGAGACAGAGGCTGAGGGATACAGACACTCTCCAGGAGAGGAAAAGCAGACAGCCTGCGAGGTGGGCGTTCTCTGGGGCCAAGTGCTTCCGTACAGAAAAAGGAGCATGTGGTACACGAGTAGGCACCCTAGTCGGGTGGATCTGGGGGAAAGAATCTAGCGCAGAGGGCACAGGAGCCAGAGGGGCCACAGTGGGAAGAGGGGTACTCTGCCAACAGAGGGCAGTACTCACCGATACACCAAAGCCAAGATGTTGAGCATGGTAGCGACATCAGGATGGCCGCGGCCAGATGTGCGTTCCAGGTCCTCAAGTGCCTGCTTGCAGAGTGGCACGGCCACCTCGTAGCGCCCCTGGGCTGCGTACTGGATCACCAGGTTGTGCAGTGTCCTCAGCCGCGCAGGGATCTCATAGCCACCCTGCTGGGCTGCTGCGGCACCCTGGCCCCGGGACACTAAGGCAGCCCAGAGAGGGGACAGGAGACAGCCTCAGGGGACTCCTCCCCTCCCCATAGCCACCTGGCCTCCCCATAGCCCAATCCATGTCTAGCTGACACCCTCACCAAGCCCTCCAAGAAGCACCTCCTCCATTCCAATCCTTTTGCTGTTCTTTTTTGTTTTTGCAGGGTTTATTGAGACAGGATCTGGCTTTGTAGTTTAGGCTCATCTTGACCTCACTATGTAGCCCGGGCTGGCCTCAAACTCATGCCAATCTTTCTACCTTGGTCTCCCAAGTGCTGGGATTACAGGCATGCACCACCATGCTCAGCAAGACCTTTATAAACATTTTCATCTGCTTTCCCAGTGCCTGACATATATTAAGTGTTTAATAAATGTTGAAGAGGAATGGGGAGGCCAAGGGAATCAAAGCAGAGCCTGGCCCTTTCCCCATCTCCACAGGAAGTGGACAGTGAGCTACATAATGAGATCTCCTGCTGCCCCTCTCCACCCTCCAACTCCAAGGCAGACTCACAGCCATTGCTGGGGTCTTCCTCCTCCTCGTTAGGGAAGAGGTCATCCAAGGAGTCCTTGGTGGTATCACCTTCCTTGTCCTCCTGGAAGGGAAGGAGCAGGATGTCAAGCCCCAGTGGACCCTTCAGGGGTGCTTCTGAGCCACAAAATTGCTGACAGATGGGAAAAGACCCTCGTTCCTGCCTCTGCCCCTGGGAAAGGCCACACATGGCTAAGCTCAAGCCTCTCTTGTTTATAAAAGCCAGAGACATTGGCTTTTTTTTTTGAAACAGGGTCTCACTATGCAGTTCAGGCTGGCCTTGTAACCAGCCTGTAACCCAAGCTGGCTTCGAACTCTCA